TTTACTATTACATAGACTAATTAACGATGACAATAGGCAATTTTGGATGGAAAGAAATATAAAAAAATACATGATATTGTTTCTTACAAATGACATTTTGGACATGAATTATTCGTGTGTATTTTCATGCTGTAATGTTATCGGTCACAATTTATATATTAAAAATTATCATAAAACATTATTTGAATAGATGTTACAATAAAAGAACTATTGAAATAATTTGTGCTTTATATAAACTCACTTAAACCACAAGCTTTAATAGCGGAGTGTTTGCATTCTTTAATTGTTGCAGCTGCTGCGCTACTCTTTACAAACTGGAGATGGATCGTTAAATGATTCCCAATTAAACGCTTCCACGCTTTGCGTTGGCTTCATAAGTGAGCCAATGTTGGTATATTTTTTGATTCACTTAAGTGCTCGCTTTAGAGTTCGGATAAATCGTTATGTTTATATAATAATTATGAATAAATATTTTAATATTCAGGTTTTAGACAATGAAATGTAAAACATCTACAGAATGGCCCGGTCTTTCTTCCAGGTACCTCTAAGTCTTCTTATATATTTCATTTAATATTAAAAGAGACATCGTAACAAAACTATTTAATATGTATACTGTCACATTTTACACAGAAGGTCGATTAATGTCATTTAAAAAGTTCAAAAATGTAAATGTCATACAATAAAAATCGATTCATTTATCTGTCTGACCGATTAATCTCTACCATTGGTTGTTTAATATTACAAGATTGTACAGGACTGTTATTGTTTTGATGAATGAAGTACTACTATAAGGGCCTACCATAGAATCGATCTTCCCCTCTTCCTCATGCATGCATTTCAAGACCGAGAGCAATCTCTATGTCAGAGCTTAGCCGTGACAGAAGGTGTGATGAGTCTAGGCGGTTGGAAGGTTGCCATCGTACGGGATCATCCCTCGAGCGGATCTGAAGTCACGCCCGAACTCTCATACTCCGAACCCGTCTAGCGGACCCGTTCAGCTTTATCGCTGCCAATCTAAAATAACTCTTGGCTCCGAAGGCGTCGTTCGAACTGCACCGAACTTTAGGGGGTCAATGCATCTCGCTCCAGTTCGTGTACCGCAGTGGCAACTCGCTCTGCGGCGCTTTAAGCGATTTCGAGCTCTGCGCGCGAACGATGCCCCCGTCGACTCTGTTCACGCGTAATGACTATTTGATTAGATCTAACAACGGTATGCTTAGTTTTTTTTTTCGCTTCCATTTTAATGTTTGCATTGGGTTTACGTTGCGGCCTCTTCGAATTTTACATTTTATATAGAAAACTGTTGTAGTAGAGAAATTACATAATATAGCGTTATAGCGAAACCATTTTAAAGCGACGTTTGCTTATATTTTGATGTTTTTCTTCTTCTACTTTATGCCGTGGCGTATTCGGATTTGTAAAAATATTAACAAAATTACATATTGAATGAATTATTATCATAGCAAAATCTTGAATCGATACGAGGAAAGTTTTCCAAATACACTATAATAAATTACTTATATTCATAAATTTTGATTGCGATAGATTTATTTGTTCTTAATTATTCAAATTGATAACGATGAATTGAAAAAGTTTGGAAACTTGGAAAACCCGCTGTGTGGGAATAGACATGTCAATTATATCACCTCGAAAATCAATTTAATGTAGCGACATACAGGCATCATTAAGATATGTGTGGTCTTAATAAGTTATTATATCACGTTAACATCATAACGTACTACTATTTTTTATACATACAGTTTTCTTTTTCACAAATCTAATTTCCTGGTAAATATGAATGAAAGCTCAAACGTGGAGTTGCGGCCTTCTGCTGCGCGTATAAGAAACTTTAATAGAGTAGTTATTGGTTAAGACTTACGATGTTACGATATTAAATTTTATACTTTAGGAACCGTCGTGTGCTGGCTCACCATTAATTACATAAGTAAACTCGAGAAATCCCGAGTACAAATTACGGTGCTGGCAAAGTTGAAACTTTTAATTGCAATTTCATTCTCCGATTTTCTACCTTGTTGGCAGTGAAGGAAAAAATATTGCGGAAACCTGTGTACTATAAAATGATGAAAAAAGGTCAGTAGCCCGCCTAACCGGAGTGGAGCCGTATGCCGTACTATGTATGTACTATAGATTGTGCAAACGAGGCAATTGTCCAACGGGATTTAGGATATACTTGCATAATATTTTTTACTCTGTATTAACGGTCGAAAAAATTTTAGCTTACCTAACCAAAATAGTTTTCATGATGAAGAGTATCATAGAGTTAACTTTTTTTTATTAATAAATGGTTACATTTTAAAAATTCTTTATGCATGTTTACATGGTTACATTTTAAAAATTCTTTATGCATGCTATTAGAAAAGACGTTATCGTAAAATTCCACTAAAGCATAACGACATGGTCTTCTCTGATGCACCGTGACATTTATGGTTCGATTTATGCTTTAGATTACGTACCAGCATTTTTGGTTTCATTTTACTTATTTTACATTTCAAGTCACAGATTCAGAATGTTAAAATTAAACCTTACTTTTACAAAAATTGATCATGAATAATTTTTAAGGTTAATAATAATTATTTAAAATAATTATGATTCTCAACCAGCTTTTTCATAGTTACGGTGTAAATTAGTTTTCATAAATATGAAAATAAACTTTTCATACTATATAATTTTTCTTACTTTAACATGCCGAAACCTATTCCTAAACGTTGTTTATCTTAAATATTTTCATTTCTGATTAGCAGCTTTGGTTTTATTTTATATCTCTTATATAAATTTATTCGTTACTAGATACCAATCAACAACACTACAACACTAATACCAATCGAACGGAGACTTTTTTTTGATTTTGCACTGAATAAATTTCAATAAATTTTAGTCATTTGATATTTTTATATGTCCGTAGCAATATAAGATCGAGATATTTGTGAAACTTTTCGTTTACGGCCCAAGTTTTTATGTGCTTTTTGTCAAATTCTCATAATATGGTTAAGAAAACTAATGCTACCATTAAAGATCAATCCCATATCTCAGACCTATGTTGTCTCTAACCTAACCTAACTTAACGAAACTGCAATGAATAAAATGGCAAAATATTGTTGTTGTTTAATTGTTGTTTAAATTTCTTTCAAATTAACGGCTTTGAGTATCCTTAATCGGAGGCTTTCATCTTAGCCGGATAAGCAGTGCTGAAATAGAAACGGTACAAAGAGCTGCAACCAAGATTGCTTCTAAAGCCTTTAAACTTAGAAACGTGCTGAGAATTGTGTATGGAGCGGTGACCTGCTTAAAGGAGCATAAAAATGAACATTGAATCGATCTTTATTCTTCTTTAAATAACCTAAGAGAAATTAAATATTTGATTTAAATTGAAACTGTTACATTAAGATTGGTAAAAAAATTATAATGGCCATTCACAGCGTACGATCGTTATAAGTTTGAGCTTTGCGAATCGCGCATAAAAATGTACGGAAAATGAAATGGACTTTGCTACGGCGGAAATTGTTTTAAAATGCAATTCGAATTTTTTATTCTCTGTGAGACGTTAATTAAATTTTTTGTCCGTTATGGAAGGAAGACAAAGAATCCAGAGACAGAGATAGGAACTAGAATTACGAGATATCAGTTAGGGTATGAACTAAAAAAAACTTACCTATTTCTCTCAGTAATAAATGATAGCGGGCTACTCAAATCATAATCAAACTCTGAAAAGGCTGTGAGTGAAGTTTGTTTTATTTACCTAAAAAAATTATAACTGTATTTTAAGACATGTGTTTCAGTGTTTTGGGGCATGTTTGTATGGGAGGTTAGGGTGTGCAAAGCTTTTTTCATGTATGTGTATCTAAGCCAAATCATTTTAAAGTAAATACTTCTATTTGCTTTACTTTGTATTTTAAATAATGACCTTGTATAATCCTTATATTTGTCTTAAAAATCGGTAATTCAAAAAAATAATTAAGATTCAAAAAAATCACCCTGTTTTTTTGCTTCTAGCTTTACCTATCCTTGACGTTAGTACGGCCGTCTCATATTACAACATTATACTTGTTCCTCGAATCTCAGCTAACGAGAAGACGGTTAACAAGTCACGAGTATCGTTTACTGACAGTTTGCAACACTTTTAACATAAATATCTCACAAACTTCCGGAAATCGGAAATCTCGCATTCGTTTGACGATGTTAAATTAAAGGCAAACGCGCCTTAAATTTTTGGCTGCTTCTAATGAAAAATCTAGTAATCGAAAAATTTTAATATGAAAAATTTTTGAAAAAAAAAAAAAAAAAATAAAAACAATCTTTTTAGTTTCTCTTTTTTTCTGTTACAAAATAATTTTTGATTCATATTTGTTGATGAAAAAAAAAACGACATTACTAATGTTATTATTTTTAACTATACATTTCCATTAAAACCGTGGAAGACGTGGAAGATAGTGAGAATTACAGTACAACTTTAGTGCTAATAGAAGTGGAATCATTATAAATTTCTTTGTGAAAACGCTATTGTATCTATAAGTTTTTGTTGTTGTTTTCTTAGTGATGACATATAATATATTGGAACTGAAACGAACAATTAGAACTTAGCCACACTGCCAAAAGTCAGATTATTCGGCGTCAAATACGATCCTGTATTTGTGTAATTCAATTTACTACTACGTTATAACAAAACGTAATCATTTCATGACAACAAGTCCATTGATCATACTCTAATATTGTGTGTGGCTGATCAAGTTCATATGGAAAAACCAGGAGTGCTTATTTTATTTACTTGTTTGCCTTAACGGACACATTTATACGTGAATATTGTATGGTATGATTCGTACTACTCCTTTTATAATTAATACTAATTAACTTTCATAATTATTACTAAAATGAGATTAAATACAGGTTCAAAGCAATTGGGCTGTTACTAAACGTTAGCAAATTTCAATAACCAGTAGTCAATTGCGGTTGATTTGTATTGACTGACCTGAGATTATTTCCAGGTTCCGGCAAGTCTTACACGATGATGGGTTCGCCGGGCGCAGACGAGGGCGGCATCATACCGCGCCTCTGCGACGCACTCTTCGAGAGGATCGCCAAGCAACAATCGCCACCCGCACTCACGTATAAGGTACCGTACCTCAACTGGTATAATATATGAACATGGAGCATTCACCCACGGCATCCAGAGGAGTAAAAAGGGACCGGCTTTTTATACATTCATACATCTAAACATATATGCACCTCGACCCGTCATGAGTAAATTGCTTTTCAGGCCCATACAACCATGATTTCCTCTTCGGACTTATCCACTCGTCTTAGCCATAAACTATTTTTCTCATTTTTTGATTATATTAAACACACGTGCACCACCACGTGTTTGAACAAAATTTGATTTTTGTAACCCCTCCCCTAGTACGTAATAAAGTAGCAAGCTATCAAAAATAGCCATAAGAAACTAAAAGTTTTTCATCGCTCACTTTAAACTCTATGTGGTAAATGAACTGAATAAAACAAGAGGCAATGCAGTATTCACGTCCGTTCCATCCGTAATGGACAGAGGAAAATGCTTTCGGCGCGGAAAAAAGCGCAGCGCTTGCGTCCCTTATCACCTGTCACAGTAATAGTCCCAACTGTCGCTCCCGGGGAGTAGGAGAAATCGCCCCGAGTCGGAAGCTGTCTGCGCTCTGCGTCACGCGATTTTGATTCTAAGAGTATTGTCAATAGACGTAAATTTGCATGCTAACGGATGGTCCATTCAGTTCTCCGCCACAGACGGCCGCATCTATCCGATTTGTTCGCTTGAATAGCACAAATATTATTCCCGAGACTCGGTTATTGAAAGCATTGCAAGAATTGCATGTAAGCTACATGTAAAAGTATTGACGAAATATTACAGTGAATTTGTACATATTTAATTTTTACTGTTAATAAGTATGAACTACATACTTATTGACCGTAAAAATTTGAATTGTCAATAATTTGGTATTGAGTTTTTGTGACATTTATAAGTAGTTTTTTCTTCAACTTTAATGTACAAATTTACTTAAATTAACTAGTATTTGATTTATTTAAATAATATTATTGACAAATAACAAGTAAAAGTATTTTTTGTTCCAAGATTCAAAAAACATTCGCCTTTACGGATACAAAATTTTACTTTTAATTATCCAAAAAACTCATTAATTTTGCACACAGCTAACCCTTCCCTTTGTTATTTCTTCAGCAATTGCAGTAAACTTAAAATACAACGTATACGATGGCATATACCGTGCTTGGTGACAGAACTGACTGAATGTGTTTCTCGTATACGAAAGTATCACGTGTAAGAAATCCACATATTCAAAAGGGTTGGAGACATATGGATTTCTGAAATTAGTAGTGAACCCTTTTCTGTATTATTATTACAGCAGTTGCAATACACTTAAAATACAACGGATACGATGGCATATCCCTTGCTTAGTGATAGAACTGACTGAATGTGTTTCTCGTGTACGAGAGTATCTCGTGTAAGAAATCCTTATAATCAAAAGGGTTGGAGACAAATGGATCTCTCAAATTGCACACAGCTAACTCTTCTCTGTGTTATGACTACAGCAGTAGCAATAAACTTAACATATAACGGATACGATGGCATATCCTTCGCTTGGTGATAAAACAGAGTACATAACATGATTCTCGTACACGAAAAGTATCTCGTGCTCGCAGGTGGAGGTGTCGTACATGGAGATCTACAACGAGCGGGTGCACGACCTGCTAGATCCGGAGACGACGCGGCGATCGCTGCGCGTGAGGGAGCACGCCGTGCTCGGGCCATACGTCGACGGGCTGTCGCAGCTGGCCGTCACCTCGTTCCAGGTGGGTACCCTTAGGAGGAACTTCGAAATTGAACGGAACATTTTATTAAAGCTACCCTCCTGATTGAATTGTGATGTCGAGGAACACGTTGCGGACGATGATGTGTGGAAATTACTCTTGCTCAGCACTAGCAAGCCGACTGGCTGCAGCTAGATAACGTGTAAAAATGTCCCGTATAAATAATAAAAATTATGTCCCGTCCGCGCAAATGCGTTGCCGGCCTTTTAGGAATGAATATTCTCTCTTCTTGAAGGTTCACAAATCGTAACAGTTCGGAAAGACCGCCGGCGGCAGCTACTTCCACAGAGTGTTTTGCCACTGTCATTACTCATAGCGAAGTCATGAATTTATGAAAAAAAAAAAAAACATTAAACAAATTATCAGTGCACATCTGAAAGGAAACAAACACTAAAATGCGTGTGTGAGTTTGTCTTTCGGGCATCGCAGCCGTCAAAGTGTCGGGTGTTTTCTTTTAACGCTTAGTCGTCAGGACGCTCTGCTCTGAAATCAAAATGCTTATATTAATCATTTATATTGCAAAATTAATCAATTAAGTTAGAAAATATACAAAATCTAGAAATTCAAATCGAAAATATAAAACATTCAATTCACAGTCGATTTGCTTAAGTACATAAGAATAAAATTGAGAATAAAATTCTATCACGAGTCTCGCTTATTGAGATGTCTATATGTCTTATCACTATTCCAGCCACTTCATGCTACTGCCAGTTGCAGTTCGATGAAAATTGTTTCTTAAATCCTTTTTTGTTAGGGATATCAGATATGATCTTTGAAATGTCACTAGCGATCTGTCAATTTACCGTTTTTTAAGTAACTTTGAGGGAAGGTTGTAGAATTCCTTGACTAAGTAGTATTAATCTACATTATGACCATACCTTTTTATTAAATCAAGTTGTCAAGCGATTAGGCTTCACCTGTTGTTAAATGATTTTATCGCCGCCCATGGACATCTAAAACTGAGGGTTTGCCGATACGTTGAAAACCTTTAATGAAAGTGGGCCCTGGTTACCTCACTCACCAGATGAACGTGAAAGTATTATACTGCCATTGTATCTCGTGATCGTGGTGCTTCTGCGGACGGGCCTGCCCATTCGTGCAACTGAAACTAGAAGCTTTTCCGTGGCCCCATCACAGCGAAAATTTTAGTGAATCTACAACGGATCATCCTATCGTAATGACTTCCTTAACTAGTTGATATAGCTGATGTCATCTCCACCTCGTTGCCACTGAAAAAGGCGCAATAAATAACTTTAAGGCGCAAACAAAACCTTTTTCTTAACACAGACTATGCTCGAATAATTTTAGTACTCTGCATTACATTATACATTGTTCATTCCAAAGGTATCGACCATATACCTCTAGGGAATAAGTCAGGACCGTACAGACTTAATGGATTAGTGAGGTTCAGCTACGTTTTAGGTATTACCGTTTAAAGTGCTCTCTCGGACTCGAAGGAGCTTTACGAATGAAAGTCGGTTCGGTTAGTTTTGCTAAACGAACCCTTATTTTAATACCCACGAACCGAAATTATGTAAATAGTTTCTAAACAACCGAAATAATTACAGATTTACATAACAAGAATATTACTTTCGTTTGGCGTTCTCTTGTGTTTTAATCTTGGCTGACATATTATACTACTATAGTATAATAATTTTTGACGTAATATTGAGTTAGAAGCAAATGCGAGGCAATGGTTTCTGTACATAAAGATTCCAAGATAAATGTAAGCATTGGTTCAGGCGACAGGAATTCGAAGACGTGACCACATAACTACATCAAGAACAAGGCCACCACTTCATTTATATTACAAAATATGATAAATTTTAAAAAAGAATATCATTTTAATACTTTTTTTGGACAAGAAAATTGAAACTCTGAATTAGAAAAATGAACATAATTAACAAAATTAAAAGGCTTATTATAAAGTAAAAAACTGTTTCTTTGAAATCAGTGAGATGTAAGACGAAATCCCTAATTAAAAACTTCGCCCCTTGACTGAAAAGTCACAGCTTTAATAATTAAATTATTTATTTTGAAACAGTAACAGAATTTGTTTCGTAAAATTAAGTTCGCCAGTTTAACTGTTTACCTAAAAGTTTTTGTTGGGTTGTATTAAACTAAACCGAAACTTTGAAATTGGTCATTTTGAAAATATTTGATGTATACGCAGTTACCAAACGTTAATGTTCACATTTTATTTTTATGTTAAGGGTGGCAAGCGAGCTGATGGTTTGCCTGATGTTAAGTAAGCCGCCGCTCGTGGACATTTGCAACACCCGTAGCTCGTGTTGCCAATGCGTAGCCACTTCTTAATAAAGTAGGCCCCGGCTGCCCCTCCAGGCGAAACGCAGAAGTATGACACCTCCACTTCACGCCGGTCTCCCACCTTGTATTTCATGGCTATGAACTGCAGTCAAACAAAAATTTATGTTTTAATTTAAATTTAAAAACAGTTAAATCAATAAAGAAAAATTATAAATTGATATGTCTAAATACGTTTGAATCGTATCCAAATATGAAGGAATTGACAGAGGAATCAAAATCAAATAAATCAATCGAACAAAAATAAAAATTAAAATGTTTTAAATCTCTACAGCTGAAAGTAATCATAAAAGCTTATTAAGTGCGCGAGTTATGCTAATTGGCATACTCCTCCGATTTACTGACGGCGGCAGGGCGAAGTCTTTATAGGTGCAGCATTTAATTAACACGCAATTAGAGTAAGCTCATTCTGCAATGTAAAGTTATTTACAACTTAATGTGGAAAGGAACATAAATTTATTCTGTTAAGAGATGCGTTTCATCATAAAAAAGGGATATTGGAATCAAATAATTAAACTTAGAAGTAAATTTTGTAGTTTTTTTATTAATTTTCTAAGTTTAGATTATTTTATTACAATTTTAAATGTCATTAGCATATTGTTATGGTAGCTGTAAATCAAAAATAAATAAATAAATAAAAATGTTATCGTCTTCTGAAATAGTGACTTTGAGATATTTTTTTAGATACGTTTTACACAAAGCACACATGGGTATTACGTACGGATAAGTACGCGAACACAGTAAATTTATACGTCGTTTATCTTCGTTCCGTTTTATGATTTCGAATCTGGAACTTTGGAACCGAGATTAATGTCCTCCGCGACATCAGCTCTCCGCTTTCACGGAAGTGGCCTCGGTTATATTTCACAAAAGCACAGCGTCTCTATTCGCGCGCGATTTTTTTTAGAGAAATGGCGCTGTCGGACTAATTAGCCGTTAACGAAATGTTGCCGGGACGTTGATTAAATCGTTGGGTTGCTTGATTGGGTCGTTTAGACTCGTTATGAAGTCGATGGTGCGTTTCAATCCGTTAACAAAAGTACGCGGGGAACGTTCCGTTTGGATATTGCAGCACTTTGGAGCGCGCTCGTTGGCGATGGCTACAAGCCCATTCGTTGCCCGCCCGTTAATTTCTCCTTTAGCCCTGCTTAAGAGCTATCCGGCCGTTCCAGTGGAAAAGTTATTCATTTATTTATGTTATGTTTTAATGTCTAACATTTCCAATTCTCTCTAGAGATTGAATTAATTAATGAAACAATTCGAGTATACAGGCTTGTTTCGGCCTTTGATTTTGATAGCGATTTTATTTCGTGATTTTGCGTTTTATCGGCATACATTTGATTTTTGTCTCGAAGCTCTTTGTGATACAATGAGAAAGGTCTTATGAAACAAGTGTTTTAGTTCGATTTGATTCATACGTACACGGTTGTATTCATAATGAAATGGTCAAAACACATTTTTACAGATACTGTTAGTGCTCGCCCTCGATAGTCCAAAGGAAAGAGGATTGTTAAAAATCTGTACGACCACTTTTTTTTTTAAATCATTCCTAGTTTACCGAATGTTCGTTCATCAAATAAAAATATGGAAAATAGAAAATTACTAGGGTCTGTATACAAGTCCGTGGATCATCATCGTATTGCGGAATATGATATACTTTTCTTCCTACACGAAGGTCGAATCAGTAGTGAACAAATCGATTCGTAGAGCTCCCGTTATTGGATTGGGAGGGCTTATGAATAATTCCATTTGGAAGATGGCTATCCCTAATTTGACTGTCTTTGAATATTGTCCGACAATGAAATTATAGGACGCCGTTCTATTTTTGAATATCGCTTTGAGTTTGTTAGGTATCAAAACAATGTCGTTTGAGGCCGTTTGAATATCTTATAGGATCAATTGTTGATCCTTGTGTACTTGAGCTCATTTCAAATTCAACTCTATAGACATCATTGCTCTAACTACTGAATTATTTCTAATTATTTTTCTCTATTGGCCTTCTGTAAAATAAACTACTCTATAAAAGTAAAAAGTAATGTATCAGCGTATACAAGTCCCACTGCTGAGCAAAGTACAGAGGGTATCAGGGCATAGTCCACCACGCGGCCCCATTGCGGATTGGCGGACTTCACATAGCTTCGAAATAAAACATATCTAAAACGTACTTGTTAGCTTTCTCTTTATACCTGACTAGACAAATAAAGTTAAATAATCATGTAGTTAAGTCCCAGCCGCAGAAGGTGCTGAACATGCTTCCATATTACGAAGCACAAATAGACCAAATCCATCGCTATAAAGAAAGAAATTATTGCAAGTCGGCCGAAACAAGTCTTGATCGTGCGCATGGGCAGGTGTATTCAGGAAAGTACTATAACCTCACAGCATACCGGCGTGAAGTGGAAGTGTTAAACTTCTGCGTTTCGTCTGGTGAGTGAGGTAGCCGGGGCCCACTTTATTAATAGGTGGCATTGCAGCTGCAACCCTGCGGGTGTTATAAATATCAATGGGCGGTGATTATTACGTATCATAAACCGCCAGTTAGTTTGATACCTTCTCACATAAAAAAGTTAAAAAAGAAAACCTAACCTAAATAAGATTAATAAGTCGGATGTGTGGCTGTGTTTAAATCGTCCTAGTTTGGGTGACATTTGTGCTCG